TTCCCCACATCTTCAGATCCCCACATCCTCTGGTCCCCCGTTCCCCACATATTCAGATCCCCACATCCTCAGGTCCCCCGTTCCCCACATATTCAGGTCCCCACATCCTTGGTTCCCCACTTCCCCACATCCTTGGGTCCCCATTTCCCCCACATCCTCAGGTCCTCCATTCCCCACATCTTGGGGTCTCCACATCCTTGGGTCCCCGGTTCCCCACATCTTTGGGTCCTCCATTCCCCACATCTTCAGGTCCCCACATCCTTGTGTCCCCTGTTCCCCACATCTTCGGGTCCCCACATCCTCTGGTCCCCCGTTCCCCCACATTTTCAGGTCCCCGGTTCCCAGTGGCCTTGGCTCCTCGTTTCCCCCCGCCGTTGGCTCCGCTCTTCCTGGTGGCAACTGGGGATCCCCGGTTGGAGATCTCAGATCTCTTCTCCGATCTTCATTGGGGTCCCTGTGAAAACACCCGTGATGCTTGGGGGGTCCCCGGGGGTGGGGAGCAGGCAGTGGGTTCACCTCCTGCCCCATGGTGCCCCCCAGAGCCCCACAGGCAGTCGGATGGGAGAACTGGGTTGCGAGGGGTTGGCTGTGCGTCGGGAGGGACGGCGTCCCGCGTCCGTCTGTCCTGCCGTGGGGCCTCGGCGCCGTGGCAGCACGTGATGCTGAGAGCTCAGGGGCTGCTGCCAAATCGAGGGCCTCACCTTCCAAAAATGGGGCAGGGATGGCAGCGTTCCTAGGGCCAAAAAGGGAAGGAGCGGGGCAGGGCGGATGGGAGCCACCCCGGCTGTTTGTGGGGGTTTCCCATTGATTTTTTGACCTCCCCCCGCCTCATCTTTGCTGCCCTGGTGGAGCCAAGGCCGAATTCAGGTGGGCAGAGTGGTGCTGTGTGGGCAGAGCTGGGTCCTGGCAGGACAACGAGCCGTGTTTCCTTCTGGTCCTCGTTGTTGTTTTCAGCTAACAGAGCTTCCACGGTTCTATGACCTTCAAGGACCCTTCCAACCCAAACCCTCCATGGTTCTGTGGTCTTTAAGGACCTTCCCAACTATTCCATGGCTCTGTGATCCTCAAGGAGCCTTCAGCTCATCCCAGTCATTTTGTGGCTCTGTGATCTTGAAGGACCCTTCCAATCCAACCCGTCCCACAACTCTGTGATCTTGAAGGACCTTTCCAACACAACGCATCCTATGATGATCTGTAAGGACCTTTCCAGCCCAGCCTTACCATTCCACGCCTCTGTGATCTGCAAGGACCCTTCAACTCATCCCCATCATTTTATGGTTCTGTGATCTGTAAGGACCCTTCCAACCCAACCATTCCATGGCTGTATAATCTTGAAGGACCCTTCCAATCCAACCCGTCCCACAACTCTGTGATCTTGAAGGACCTTTCCAACACAACGCATCCTATGATGATCTGTAAGGACCTTTCCAGCCCAGCCTTACCATTCCATGCCTCTGTGATCTATAATGACCCTTCCAAGCCAAGCCATTCCATGGTTCTGTGATCTTCAAGGACCCTCTTGGAGGCCTCTTCCATCCCAACCATTCCATGGCTCTTTGACCTTTAAGGACCTCTCCATCCCAACCTTTCCATAGCTCTTTGACCTTTAAGGACCTTTCCATCCCAACCTTTCCATGGCTCTGTGATCTCTAAGGGCATCTCCATCCCCAATATTCCATGGTTCTGTGATCTTTCAGGATCCTTCCAACCCAACGCTTCCCATTGCTCTACGGCCTTTAAGGTCCCTTCCAACCCAACCTTTCCATGGCTCTGTTGTCTTTTAGGACCCCTCCAACCCCACCACTCCATGGCTTCATTGCTCTGTGATCTTTAAGGTCATCTCCATCCCAAATATTCCATGGCTCTGTGATCTTTCAGGACCTTTGTAGCCCAACCTTTCCATGATTCTACAATCTTGGAGGCCTCTTGCATCCCAACCTTTCCATGGCTCTGTGATCTTTATGGTCCCTTCCAACCCAACCACTCCATGGCTCTGTGATCTTTCAGGACCTTTCCAACCCAACCACTCCATGGCTTCACGGCTCTGTGATCTTTCAGGACCTTTCCAACCCAACCATTTCATGGCTCTGTTGTCTTTTAGGACCCCTCCAACCCAACCACTCCATGGCTCCATGGCTCTGTGATCTTTCAGGACCTTTCCAACCCAACCACTCCATGGCTCCATGGCTCTGTGATCTTTCAGGACCTTTCCAACCCAACCACTCCATGGCTCTGTGATCTTTATGGTCCCTTCCAACCCAACCACTCCATGGCTCTGTGATCTTTCAGGACCTTTCCAACCCAACCACTCCATGGCTTCACAGCTCTGTGATCTTCGAGGACCTTTCCAACCCAACCATTTCATGGTTCCATGACAAAATGTTGCTCAAGGACCTTTCCCACTCTCCCATTCCGTGGCCCCGTGATCTTTAAGGACCGTTCCACCCCAACCATCCCTACGGTGACGACTCTCTGAGCCCCGCACCTCACCGTAGGCCTCGGGTCTTCCCTGGGTGCGTCGCTCCGTGCCGTGACCCCTGTGTCCCTGTGCCCGCAGAGCATCGCCGAGTACGACCTGAAGGACATCTCATACACGGTGCGCAGCCCCACGTGCCACGAGCTGCTGGTCCTCGGCTCCCTGGATGAACCCATGGTGTTCAGCTTCGAGGAGGAGCGCGAGGCGCAGAAGTGGTGGACGATCGTCAGCAGTTCCCTGCGGGAGGCGCAGAAAGGTGGGCGCTGCCTCTGGGGGGGGGGGGGCCCCGGCGCTGTGGGGGTTCCGTGCCCCATGCGAGTGGGGCATCAGTGGGGTGTTGTGTGGGGACAGCAGCTCTGTGCTGTCCCCTCTGTCCCCACTCTTCAGTGTTGTCCAATCCCTGTGCTGTCCCCTCTCTGCTTCGTGCTGTCCCCTCTCTGCTCTGCTGTCCCCTCTCTGCTCTGCTTTGCCGTCCCCTCTCTGCTCTGCTCTGCTGTCCCCTCTCTGCTCTGCTGTCCCCTCTCTGCTTCGTGCTGTCCCCTCTCTGCTTCATGCTGTCCCCTCTCTGCTCTGCTCTGCTGTCCCCTCTCTGCTTCATGCTGTCCCCTCTCTGCTCTGCTCTGCTGTCCCCTCTCTGCTTCGTGCTGTCCCCTCTCTGCTCTGCTTCGTGCTGTCCCCTCTCTGCTCTGCTCTGCTGTCCCCTCTCTGCTTCGTGCTGTCCCCTCTCTGCTCTGCTCTGCTGTCCCCTCTCTGCTCTGCTCTGCTGTCCCCACTCTTCAGTGTTGTCCAATCCCTGTGCTGTCCCCCCTCTGCTGTGCTCTGCTGTCCCCTCCCTGCTGTGCTGTCCCCACTCTTCACTGTTGTTCAATCCCTGTGCTGTCCCCTCTTTGCTCTGCTGTGCTGTCCCCTCTCTGCTTTGTGCTGTCCCCTCTCTGCTCTGCTGTCCCCACTCTTCATTGTTGTCCAGTCCCTGTGCTGTCCCCCCTCTGCTCTGCTGTCCCCACTCTTCAGTGTTGTTCAGTCCCTGTGCTGTCCCCCCTCTGCTGTGCTGTGCTGTCCCCTCTCTGC